ACCTGCGGGCTTGTCTGCTTATCCAGCTCCTCTTCCTACTCCTCCTCCGCCTCCTCCTCCTCCGCCAGTAACTGCGCTCTACCGGCAAGACGAAACGATGGTCACCCGTTCTCACAAAAGGATCGGGGCCAACGCGATCCAAGAGCGATTCGCTGGCCGTGGATTTCATCGTGCTACCACTCACGTCACTGCTGTCAGACTTCTCACCGAGAAGGCGAAGTTTGCAAAAGTACGCTCGGCGTCAGACGTTTTGACCAGTCGTGTGACGACTCTCCTTACGCTTCGGGGTTGACCACGCGGGACAAGAGGAGAATATGCTAAAACATTCGCAACTAGTAAGTACCATAAGGAACGCTAAACAAGGTCGAAGATCCTTCTCGGCCCCAAAAAGCGCCTGCGTGCACGAGGAGCGGTAGAGGAACATCCAGGGAAGGACACAAGGAACAGTGAACCCCTTCGGAACACGAAATGCTCATTACTTCATCGAACTCAGAACACAAGAGATGTAAAGGGCAAGTGGAAAACGAGAAGCCTGGACTTCCGATGCCGATTCTTTCCATTCAACGCTTGCACTGAAGGGGTCATACCGGAGACCGAAAAAATGTGCGGAAATTCTGAGCCGATTTCGGTGGGCGGCCAGGTTCCCGGTTCCAGGTTCTGGGCAGAATTCGGTAGGCAGTTCCCGTATTCCCAGTTCTGGGTCCAGGGCTCTGGGCGCGGCAAGGTTCCTGATTTCTCGAGTTCTTGATTGTGGCCGAATTCTCGACCACGGCCTGAAGAAGAGAGTAGATAGTAGAGGGTATAGAGCACACATCAGAGATTAGAGAACAGAGTAAAGCAAAGAAAATAGAGAGTAGAGATTAGAGAGTAGGGATGAGAGAGCAGAGCGAGTTGACAGGGTAGACAGGCTGAGCAGGCTAGGAGCAGAAAAAGAGAAACAGAGAGAGAGAGAGGAACAGAGAGAGACGGAGAGAGGAAAGACTTGCGACCAGTGTCAAAATGTGTATGGAAGAGATAAAGACACATGTATAATGTATAGATTTACTAGAACCATCGCGCGCGCTTCCCACGCGCGCAGGCTCCAGCGCACGCCAGGGCGTCGCTGAAAGAGCTTGGACACCGATATCATACTCAAGCACATGACATAGACGCAGCCATCCTCACCCTCATCCTCGTTCCCGTCCTCACTCTCATACGCCTCCTCACAGTCCTACGCATCGTCACCATGATATAAATCATCACCATCATCATCATTATCAGCAGCAGCATCGTCTACAACAGCAATTACAACAACGACGACGATGACGACGACGATAATGACGACGACAATAACAACAACCACAACAACAACAACAACAACAACAACAACAACAACAACAACAACAACAACAACAACAACAACAACAACAACAACAACAACAACAACAACAATAGCAACAACAACAACAACAACAACAACAACAACAACAACAAGAACCGTTTTGGTGGCCTCTGGGGCTCCTGCTGGGGCTCTCTCGGGCAAATTGGGGGCTCTCCAACAACCTCAGGGGCGGCCGTTGGGTTGAAGAGAAGGAGTCAGCAGCATCATCATTGTCATGATGATGACCGTCACCGACATCGTTACTAACACCACTCTCATCAGCACCTGCATCCCCAGCATCGTCACCATCACCATACTTGTCATGGACATCGTCTTCAGCATCAGCATCATCATCGTCATGAACACCATGGGCGCATTATCATCATGATGGTCATCATAATCAACATCAGCATCATCATCATGGTCCGAATCATCGTCATCATCATCACCACCATCATCATCATCGTCATCATCATCACCAAAACAGCAACCACAACAGCAACTTCAACAACAACCACAACAACAACGTAGCAACGTTCCTCCCGGCTCCGGACTGGGGCCGGAAGCGCCGGTGGCACACGGGCGCGTTCAAACTCTCTCCCCGCCCCAGATGAAAGCGTAGGCGCGGCAAGTGTGCCAACGCCTCCCTGGCCCCAGGGCCTCTTCCAGTGCAGCGGACGCGCACACCGGTGTAGCAACGCTCCTCCCGGCCCCGTCATGTGTCTGAGAACCCTCAGGATGGCAAGCCAGGGGTGCAAACGCCCCTCGCGGCCCTGGCCCCCGTTGTTGTTCAGATCTTGTTCGCATTGGGATGCTGCAGAAACCTTGGGGAATCCTGAGGGCCCCGTCAGGAATCCTGGGGGACCCTGAGGAATAATGAAGGACACATACACGTATACGTATACATCAGTATGCACGTATACATCTGTATATATATATACACACATAGACCTATACACACATATACATACATACTCACACATATATATATTTTATAGACATGAACATATGAACGTTCGTGCACATGCACATGTACATTGACATGCACGTACACATATACATACATCTATACATATAGGTCTACTCATACAACTATACTCATATTCATATACACATATACCTATATTAGAACATCTACACATGTACACCTACATACACATATGAATATACACACACGTATACATATACATAAACATACATACGCCTATACATCTATATATAAATATAATACATATGCAAATACATAAACATAGACGTGAACATATACATACACATACACGTATACATATACGTATACAGGTGCCTACTCATATACCGACCCCGAAGCGAATTGCCATGTTCAGAAAGCTGGCGCACCCACGAGAGCCTGTGCTCGCCGCGCCAGCGGTCGAGAAGCCCAAGCAAAGCACGCGGGGCGAGACTGAACAATCGCTTCACACGGCGGGGCGCGCGCAAGAAATCAGACAGTCAACCGACAGCATACCCAGAAAGCGCCTCACTACTCTGTCAGATGGCCACGCGTCGCCGCCGATCTCGCAGGCCGCCCACAATGAAGGGGCCCCAGGACACACAAATAAATACACACAAATAAAAGGATTCCCCATATTTTCTTATATTTTCTGGGTTTCTGTCTTCCCCCCCACTTCCCATATTTTCCCATATTTTCCTGGATATGGACGATTAATTGTGTCTGTGTGTTTTTTTCCCTCCTGACACAATCTGGCGCAGAGGGCGCACGTAACATGTGCAGTAAATGATCATGCCCCTGGCGCCCGGGACAGCAATGCGCTCTGCGCAAGGCTCGCGAGACAGGAACTGACTTCTTGCGTTGCCAAGACACTTTCGGGTAGCCACAAAGATTCAAGGCGACGGGCGCGCATGCCTCCATTGCCGAAGAAGTCCGATGCTCAGCATTGGCAAGCGTCTCAGGAGCACTGGACATCATCGCGCCAAGATGCTTGCGCGATGGCACAACAGTCAAGAACAGATCATAGGAGCCAAGGGCCGAAACACGTAAGCGCCCATCAGCTCGCCGCCAACTCTCGCGAGCCAGGACTGCGCCGGGACCACGCCACGCCAAAGTTCCCGTCTTTTTGGGCGCCCAGTTGATCTCCAAGCGAAGCTCATTGAAAAAGGAGATCCTAATGCAAAGTAGCGCTTCGACCGCCGCGCCACGGGTACCTGCAGAGGTGTACTGGAGGACAGTGGCTTCATCGTCGATGAAGGCGGCGTCTACGACAGGCTCGGCGCCGCGGCTCTCAACAGGCTCGGCACAGGTAGCCCCAGGAAGACCATGCCGGCCTGCTGCACCTCCCATCGCTGGAAATCCATGGCAGTGCCGCACACGCCATGGAAGGTGGAGGCCCCGCGCTCGCAGCCCCGCCCGCCGCCGGCGTCGCCAGTCACGGATAAGCGGCCGCCACCGACCTAGAATCGTGCCCCTCGACGCAGGGATCCGGCGAGGGCGGCAGCAACAGGATCAGCGCCCCATCGCTGAGGAAGGCGGCCGCTCTACTGCGGGGGGCTGCACGCCGAGACTGCGCAAGTAGGCGGCCTCGTCTGCTGGCGGAGCTGGCCCCCAGCCCCGCGCGAGTTGGCGCGCCGCCGCGTCGACGGCTTTGACCAAGTCGACGAGGAGCACGCACATCGATGCGCTGAATATGGCGGCGGCAGCTACAACAGAGCGCACCAGGTGGGGCGCCGGGCCCGCGCCCTTGCCAAGGGTAGCACCGCGCTGCGATGAGGGCATCAACTCGACATGGATGGTGTCGAAGGCCTGCTTGAGGCGACAAAGAAATGCTTTGCTGCAGTGGCCAGAAAACAGGATCGAGCCATAGCTGTCGCAGGCAAAATGAGTCTTCTTCTCGCACGCGTTGGTGAGAAAGCCGCGGCGCCAGGCCAGCAGGCCACGTCGCGCCCGCGAAAAAATCGCCGATTGATCGCGCTGCCGTGCAAAGCAACGGGCAAACTTCCTGTCTTGAGCACCCCACCCAGAACGTCGCCAAACCCAACTCCAGGGCTGAACCTAAACGGTGTGTTTCGTTGTTTCTTTTTGCTTTCGTCTTCCCTCGCTCTGTCTTCAATCCGCCTTTCACGCAAAACGGAGTCGAAACGAGAACGGCCCACGAAATCACAAAAAAACACCGTTCAGGTCCACCCCTGCCCAACTCCCCTCTTGCCCTTTGGCGTGGCAGAAGCTTCTCGGGTCGCGACGAGTCTCAAACCGAGCTCCCCCGGCGGCACGGGCGGCCCGCGGCCAGCGAGGGGCCCGGCGCCGTCGACGACGCGAGGCAGGCAGGCAGGCAGGCAGGCAGGCAGGCAGGCAGGCAGGCAGGCAGGCAGGCAGACAGACAGACAGACAGACGGAGAGAGAGCGCAGACGTGGAGCGCCTGCGAAAAAAAAAAAAAACAGGAACCCGCTGAATGATTTCAGCTCTGATGCAATCCATTTCAACACGGGTTCCCTCCAGGTCCCATGCCCTTCACCAGGATCGGCTCATCATCTTGAGTCGTTGTTCGACGGTCCCCGAGCCAAAGAAATGCTTCCGAGAAAAAGGACTGCCAAAAACACTACGTCGGAGGGGCTGGGAAGAGAGCAGGCGCACCTCCCCGTCCAGCAGGCTGGTCTCCTGGCTCTCGCTCACTCCGCCGCGGTAGACCACCAGCGTATCCTGCTCTAAGCAGGCACCAGGAGACGAGCCTCCCTCTTCCTACTCATCTGATACGTGTTTCTCCTTTCTGGGGGGGGAGGGAGGAACGAGGTGGATCTGTACAGTGGCGGTCCTCCTCCGAAACAGCTAAGCCTTGCATCTTTTGGGGGGGCCAGGCTCGCGCCTCGCCTTTGTTGGGGGGGGGGGGGGGGCGCGCGCCGCGGATTCGAGCGCTGCTTGCTGGAACTTCGGGGGAGGGGGGGACGTTGGAGCGGGGACCCATCCAACCTCTTGCAAGTGTAATACGGCCTGGTGGAAATTCAACATCGGGATCCGAAGAGGGCCGATTCGGCATCGTTCAACACATCTCTTCTCAATTTGCAAAGTACACATTCTGTAAAGTGGGTACCCAAATCAACGAATTCACTGGTATATGCCTTGGTTTAGGTTTTCACACAAAAGGTATTGTTATTGGCATTCCTATGCTTTGTGGAAACTACTTGTATTCCCTTCGGCTGAGATAAGTCCGCAATTATATATATATATATATATATATATATATATGTGCGGTGCCCATCGACAAAGTATGTTCCGCCGTGTTCAAAGCATTGCAACATTCATACAGTTTCCATGTTCATTGTGTCACAAGCCCTACTATTGCTGACATGCTGGCGCTCTCTTTGTAAACAGAAACAAGATTTCTTGGTTGCGTGTTCATGCAATTTCGCAACTCAAATCTATATCATAATGCATTGCATGCGTCATTGGATGATGATGCTTCCGCCGTTTTCATCAAACTACATCTGTCATGAAATTCCCAGTTACCACGCTCAGATAATTCAGCGACATGCATAACCAAACAAGCCAAACACCAAAAAACAAAAACAAAATCCAAAATCCTATAACAAACAAATCAGAAAGAACAAATGGATCTGCAAAAATCGGCCACTTCACTATGTTTCCACATTTCTGCGGTTCCGAACTTTTTGCCGAAAACTAAATGCAGATGCAGAGTTCTGCAGAAGCTGACTTTACGACCCATTCTGACTCGTGGTAATGTCCATGTCCAGAATGAGCCTCGGGGATTGCGGGAGGACGGGGAGTTGAGGATGGTGATTGCCAGAGGTGGCAGAGAGAAGGGACAGGAGTGAGGATGCAGGACTGACGGAGGTGGAAGGAGCTTGAACACAAAGACAGGCGGGAGGACGGTGAAGCCAGGAGGGGGAATGAGGGAGGAGAGAGTGGAGTGAGGATGTAAGGAGGGAGGAAGGAGCATGGTGAAAATTCAGTGGGGAGGGGAGGGAGCGCAGGGAGGCAGGATGGGGGGAAGCCGGAGGAGGAATGGAAGAGAGAAAATCCGTCCTCCGTCCAAACCCATGATCCCTCCTCTCATGCCTCTGCCCCTTTATCCCATCACCATTTTCCTCTCTACCTTACCGCAACATCCCCCCTCTTCCTTCTTCCTCCATCTTCCCTCCTCTCCCCCGTCCCTCCCTCTTCCCTCCTCCCTGCACGCTTCTCCGTCATCCGTCATCCGTCAAACCTCGCATTGCCCACTCCTCCATCCTCCGTGCCCCTCCCCGTCCCCATTCACCCTTCTCCCTCCTTCGTTCGTCGCAGTTCCTCCCTCCGCCGTCGGCCCTACCGCATTCCTCAACTCACTCCCTCCTCCATCCTCCCTCTTCCATCCTCCCCCAGCTTGCCCTTGCCCTCATTAATCCGCCATCCTTCCCCCCCCCTCCCTGCCCCCCCTCCTCCTCATCCTCCTCCTCCTCCTCCTCCTCCCTCCTCCTCCTCCTCCTCCTCCTCCTCCTCCTCCTCCTCCTCCTCCTCCTCCTCATCATCATCATCATCATCATCATCATCACATCATCATCATCATCATCATCATCATCATCATCATCATCATCATCATCCCCCTCTCCCCTCCTCCTCCCCCTCCCCCTCCTCCTCCTCCTCCACCTCCTCCTCCACCTCCTCCTCACTTCATCTCACCCCTCCCAGTGCCATCTTCTCCCCTTCCTTTGCGCTCCTCCCTCCTCCGTTGTCGTCCCTACGAGTTCCCCTCCCGCCCTCCTCCTCCATGCCGTTCCCCTTCACATTCGTCCCTCCTACCTCTTCCCTTCGCCATCCCTCCGCCCTCCCTCCTCCGCCCCTCCTCCGTCCCTCCTCCGTCCTCCCTCCATCGACCACCCCTTCTCGTCACTACTTTCCCTCCTTCCCTTCGCGCTCCTCATCATCCGTCCCCCGTCCACCCGCTCCATCCTCTCACCCCAACACCCTCCTCCCTTCACCCTCCACCCTCCTCCGCCCTCTCTCCATCCTATGACGGGGCGCTTCTCAACATCCGTCCTCCATCTCCCCTATCTCTTCTCCCACCCCCTACCTCCCACCTGCCTTCACCCTCCTCCCCTGGGACGGGGTGCTGAGGACCGTTCAGCCCTATCGATCAACAATTTCTTCTCGGGCCTTCGGGGATACTGCCAGGGTGGCCCCAGCATTACCCAAGACTCTCAAAATGTTCTCTAAACAGCACTACACGTAATACTATGTGTTCTTGGGCTAGCCTGAGGCTTGAAATTCCGGATTGACCCCACGTGTGCCGACGAAGAAAAAAAACTTAAGTTTCTCACTATTGGACGTGCGGGGGCTTGCTGCTTGAGCATGGATGGTTGTGTTTGAAAAAAACGAGAAGCGCCACATATAGTGGGCAAGCTGAATGATGTCCAACAACATATGGCAAACGTGGGGCCACGCAATATAAGAAAGCACTAGGTTGACACGAGTCACCCCGAAAACCGTGCGAGAAAACCCAATGGTTGCACTTCTACTCTGAGGGCCAACATGGGGCCATGCATCATATAAGAAAGCACCAATGTGACATGCGTCACCCCGAAGACCGCATGAGATGAAAAATGCGTCACGTGTACATCGAAGGCCAACACGGGGCCATGATGTATGAGAAAGCACGACGGTTACATGTGCCACCCCGAAAAACGCGCGGGGGGAAAACAAAAAACATACATGTTTCTCTTATCTTCTGAAGGCCAACATGGGACCATGCAACATGAGAACGTATCAGTGTGACACGCGCCACCCCGAAGAACGCGCGGTGGGGGAAACCAGCATGTTTCTCTCATCTTCTGAAGGCCAACATGGGACCATGCAACATGAGAAAGCATCAGGGTAACGCGTGTCACCCCGAAGACCGCGTGAGAAAAACAAATGTGCCCACCTGTCCCCTGGGGCCCGACATGGGTCCACCCTGTATCAGACAGCACCGAAGTGACACGTGTCACCCAGAAAACCGGGGGGGGAACAAAACTCGTTCTACCTTCTGATATGAGGACCAACATGGGGCCATGCAACACCAGACAAAATCAGGGTGACACTCGCCACCCCGAAAACCGCACGAACAAAACACATCGTTTCGCTCAAAATTGAGGACCAGCATGAGGCCATGTAATATAATACAGCACACTGGTGACACGTGTCACCCCGAAAAACGCGTGACCAAAACCGATTGGTTCACGTGTACTTTGAGGGTCAAGAGCCACGTCATACTGGAAGAAAAAAACAGGTGGCACGTGTCACATCAAAAACCATGTGAAAAATAGCACGTATCTGTTCTTACTCCAAAGGCCAGCCTGGGGCCATGCAGTATGAGAAATCACAAAGGTGACACGCATCACCCCGAAAACCGTGAGAGAGAAGAAAAACAATTGTTTCACTTGAAGGTGGCGCAAGCCTATGACCTAGCGTGCACAGAAGCTCCACCTCCCTGAGAAGCGCCCCCAGTGGCTGCACCGAAGTTCCCCTGAGGCCCCTGAGCAGCTCGCCAGAAGCTCCTCAAAAGGCTCCTCAAAAGGTGCTCAGGAGCCTCTCGGGAGCCTCTTCAGGAGCCTCAGGATATTCTCAGGAGCTTCTCAAGAGCTTCTCAGGAGCCTCTCATTTGTTCAGAACCCTGCCTCTCAAGGGTCTATGTGGGAGTCCTGTGGATCCACGGGAAGTCGCACTGGCACCGTGCGAAAGCGGCATTCACCACAAAAGACAAAACGGCTTCGCAAGAGAGCCAAGAATCGAGGGAGCGCGATCCACCAGCGCTGGCCTGGCAATGTTCTCTACAGGGGTCGGAAACCACAGGACCCCTTTCCTCCCCGACAAAAACCCTTGAGGGGGGGGTCAGACACCAGGGGACCCTCCCCCCTCACAACCCCCCCCCCCTGAGAAGAACCTAGGGTGTCCGGACCCCCCCCCCCCCCTGGGGAAATTAGCGGGGGCCTCTCGACCCCCCCCCCTCCCCCCGGGAAACTTAATGGGAGGGGTCTGGAGCAGCCCCTCCCCCGGGGAAATTACTGGGGAGGTCCGGCCCCCCCCCTCCAAGAAAATCATCGGGGGGTCCAGACCGCCCCCCCCGACGACGACGACGACGACGACGACGACGACGACGACGACGACGACGACGACGACGACGACGACGACGACGACGACGGCGGCGACGACGACGGCGGCGACGACGACGACGACGACGACGACGACGACGACGACGACGACGACGGCGGCGACGACGACGACGACGACGACGACGACGACGACGACGACGACGACGACGACGACGACGACGGTGGCGACGACGACGACGACGATGAAGACGACGACGAAAAAGCCGACGACGACGACGACGACGACGACGACGACGACGACGACGACGGCGGCGGCGACGACGACGACGTCGACGAAGACGGCGACGATGACGGCGACGACGACGACGGCGGCGGCGGCGGCGGCGCACCTGTCGCCAGCGCGCGCGCGCGCCAGGCACCGGCTCTGATAGAATGCTACCAGGGCTTGGTCTGGCTGTCTCGACACCCTACTTGGGCCCTACTGTACTCTGAGCTGCTCTACTCTACTCAACCCTAATCGACCTTCCTCTGTTCTACTCTACTCTACTCTACTCTGCCCTAAAATGCTCTACCCTAGTCTAGTCTACCCTACCGTACCCTGACATACTCCACGTTACT